ACAATATTTAGATCTCCCATTTCATTATAAACCAGTGGATAAAGAATGGTGTAGAGAAAAATGTACAAGTTTGGGATTTACTCATAAAGAACCAATTATAAATCAGCAGTTAACTTCAAACATGATTCCAGTTGATGTTGTTCTTAACGAAAGAGGAATTTTCAATGTTTTGTCAGAATTAATATGCGAGGACATTAAATATAGCCAAGACATATTTGAAGAAACTATTATAGTAAGCAATAATATATTTTCCATTTTGATATATTTTTTGTAACTATTAAAACTTAATATTTTTTATGTAACCAGAATTTAATGACTAATGAAGATATCAAAAAGTTTGTTAAAAATGACAGTTGGTTTAATTATAGAATAATTACAGGTATTCAAATTGAAATGATAAGTATAATTCAGTTTTGAATTATATTTGTTGAATTTCAACCTACAGATCTCACCATTCTGATATTTTTTGTTCGCACAAATGTGGGTATTATTTAACTAAAGTTAGTTTGAGTTCAGATATCTTTGAATTCAGTTAACTCATCTCTTTTGAAATGAAACTTCTTTATAGATTGTCCGAAAAAAAATAGATCATCGAGCGTCACGGACGGCCGTCATGTTCGGCAGCAAAGTACATTTTATATTATAATTTAGCACTGTATTTTCGAAAATTAAAATAATTTTATATAAAATGTATTAAATAATTTAATTTAAAATAATTTTGATTACGTATAAATATTTTTAAAGAAGCGGAATAGATGCAATTTTCAAGCGATATCTTCAGAACGAAAAAAATTTCTCTTCATCCGTGCATACTCATAACACTGCACTAGTTATTTTTTCAAGTCAAAATTCAAATTTAAATAAAATATTAATTAATGCCTGGTATTCAAATTACTATTTAGTATAATACAGTTTTAAACTTTATTAGTTAATTTTTAAGCCTAAAGATATTTAAAATTTGCTTTTGTGAGTATTATACAACTAAAACGAGTTTAAGTTCAGATATCTTTGGACTGAATAGAATCTGTAATTGTTTAATATAAGTCATAGTTCGATTAAAGTCTTATTAAAACAAATAATGAGCAATTGGCGTGTTAAATCAATTGCTTATAATTATTTTTTTAATAAACAAACACAACATATAATAAAAATATAAATTGATCATTTGTGGCTAATTAATAAAAATTAAATGCATACTGTATGTGTTTAGCATTAATGATTTTAACATTAATTCAAAAATACGTATTCATTTTGAAAAAATTTTTGTAGCTTTTAAAGTTAAATATTTAAAAAAAGTTGTTTAGTTTTAAATTAATATTTTAATAGAAATTTAATTTTAAACAAACTTTTACGAAAAAACACATTTATCAAATTTATTTTCATAACTGTTTAATAAATGAAGGGCTTATAAATTACTGTGATATTGAAGTTCCATATTTGAAATTTAAGACCATTATAGCAATTAACGAAATAATTAATTATTATTTTTAAATTACTTCACTTTTTTTTTTCTGATACCACTAAATCTCTGCTCTTAATGGACAGATTTTGATGAAAAATACGTCAAAAAATCAAAAATAGTCACTTAGAGACGCACCCGGCACAATGATTTTTTTGTATATTTTTCTTTATTATTTTTGGGTATGGGAAAAATATTAAAATTTTGTGTATTTAGTGTATATTTAATATTTTTAAAATGTATCTAATATTTTCTAAATAAAAATATTCAAGAAGCAAAGTATTTTTGTTATTGCATAAAGTAAAATCAAGTAATTATAATAAACAAATCAATTCACTGTGATTGAATTGTCGGGAAATAATTCATCACATACACTGCTTCCAGTTATGTAAACTTAGCAGTCTACGAGGTGTGATCAAAAAATACCCGGACTGTGTTAATAATATTAATATCAATTAAGATAACAAAATCCCGATAATTTCATTCAATAAAGTAACTTCTAACGAGAATTTGAGATTTGGTTTGAAATCGATAACAATATTTATTTTTATTTTATGGCATTTTTACGAAAACATGTTTCAGTCATGAGTCGATTTTCGAAATGGAAATAATAGAAGAACAAAGTGTGTGCATAAAATTTTATTTTAAATTAGGGAAAACTTCTAGTGAAACTTTTGAACTTTTGAACCAAACTTTATGAGATGATGTACTGTCATGTTTTGAGTGGTTTAAATGGTTTAAGGATGGTAGTACATCCGTTAAGGATAACGAACGACCTGGTAGACCCTCGACCAGTAAAACAAATGATATTGATGCTCTTGTTCGTGAAATTATTTGAAATAATCGTCGATTAACTATCAGAGAAGTTGCAGAAGACGGCGGAATATCTTATGGTTCTTGCCAAAAAATATTAACCAAAGAATTGAGCCGAATGGAGGCCAAATTTGTTCCTCTTCTCTTAGCCGATGAACAAACACAAAACCGAAAAATCATCTCTCAAGAACTTTTTGAAAAAGCAGAAACTGATCCAAACTTTTTAAAAAATATTATAATTGGCGATGAAACTTAGATTTACGAGTATGATGTTGAAACCAAGCGTCAATCGTCCCAGTGGAAGTCAGCAAATTCCCCTAGACCAAAAAAAGCAAAGCAGGTGAAAACAAATATGAGAGCCATGTCAATCACTTTTTTTTTATTTTCGTGGTATAGTTTATCGTGAATATTTACTATTTGCCTCAAGGACAAACAGTAAATCAGCATTTTTATTTAAAACTTATGAAATATTACGTGAAAATGTTAGAAAAAAAGGGCCAGAAATTGGAGAAATGGTTCTTGGATGTTGCATCACGATAACGCCCCGGCTCACAGCTCATTGCTCATTTGTCAGTTCTTAGCGAAAAATCAGACTCCAGTAGTTCCATAACCACCAAACTCACCCAATCTGGCTCATACGACTTTTTTTTTGTTTCCGAAGTTAAAATCTACGCTCAAAGGATGTCATTTTCAAAAAATTGATGACATAAAACAAAATACGGAAATCGATCAAAAAGACATTCCAATTAGTGCCTACCAGGAATGTTTTCAAAAGTGGAAAGAAGATGGCAGTGGTATATTGTTTCCCAGTGAGATTATTTTGAAGATGATAATGTATATATAGAATAATATTGAGTTAATAAAGTTTTATTAGAAAAATTCGAGTATTTTTTTATCACACCTCGTGTACTTATTTTTACCCATATTATAAAGTTATGTAAGTAAGCCAAAAATGTATAATTTTTTTTTTAAGTTTGTCTTCTTAAAAGTCTTTTTTTTTTGCATTACATTGGCATTACTGTGGGCCGCCCTGGAACTGCCGTTAAGTATTACTTTAGGGCGACCCACGCCGTCAATATAATTCAAGCAATGTGGTGCGGCCCCCTCTTGTTAACCGGATCCCTGAGTGGAAACCGTTAAGGAGTGTTGGCAAAATAACTCACAAAACACAAAAATGAGAACCTAAGGCACCGGCCTAAACCAGCGCCTCAGGTCCTTCTGTGCCAGGCGGCGTGGCTGCCTCAGTCTCAGGTGTTCCGCTTCCTCCTTCTTTTTCAAGATGGATTCGCCGAACGCCTGGACGAGCCTCTATGCCTCCCGGCTCCTCAACATCAGATTCACCATGGACCCGACTGGGAACTAGTCGGGACTCCAAAGAGTTTGCCGACTCTTTAACCGATGGAATATAACAATTGCCCACTATAATCTAATATTTATTTGAGAACTTTAATAATACAAATAGGTTTTCTACTATGTTTCACTTCATTTTCTATGAAATGAGAATCTTATAGCTAAGAAAGATATTAAATCGTTTTTTAATGATGACACATAGTTATTAATTATTTAAATATGTTAAGAAAAGTCGTGGAGTTATGAAACGTATACTTCATATTATTCATTCAATCAAAAATAATTAAAAGTATATAAAATATATATATAAAATACCATAAAAAAATATATTTTATTAAGTTACAACATTTTAGGAATTAAAATGGGGCGATGTATACGTACACGAAAACGAGCTTCACTCATTCTCACTACAAACCCACATTATGCATTAAAATACTTGTAACTAAATGAGTGAGGACCAAATTTGTTACTGAAATTATTAAGTGTTAAAAAAACCGAAAAAATTAACGTATAACTAATAATTCTGGCTGATCTCCTGTGAGCTTATACAGTGTGAATTATTTATTATGAACCACTTAATTTATCGAAAAATAATAATAATATTAATAATTTTTTATTGATTTCTTTTAGTTCGATATTCATTGTTATAGGTACAAATAAAGTCTTAATTCTTATGTAGTAAACATTCTTGAATTAAATTATAATTTCTAAAATTTATTTTAGAATACTTTTAGTAAATTAAGAACAAATTTGCTACTACTATTTTAAATATCTCTAAACTATTGAGCAAAAAATAATTTAATGAGGGAACTAAGATTTTCAAGCATTTTAGGAAGAATAGTTTTTAAGGAGAATTTTTAAGGAAAAGATCTCTAGTTACAATTTTATATTTTGGTATGAGGAGAGGTGTGATTGAGAAATGTCTCATGATAATTAATATCAATAAATAATAAATAATAGTTTAAAAATAACAAAAATTGTTATCAAACCATAATTTTCTTAATTACATAAATTAAAATATTCTGGTTATATTCTAGAAATATTTTAGGAATATTATAAAAATATTGGGTGATGGCCTCTACATTAACTGTTGTTTTTTTTTTTTCAAAATTACTTGTATATAATATTTGATTTCTATATTAATTAGAATTTACCTGATTTTAAGCAATTTATTATTGTTCAACGAAAATTGTATAGTTATAAATTACCAATATTGCAGATTATTCGAATTTCCCGGTATGTAGATGATAAATGCAATAGATTGCGACTTTAATAACTTATCTTTATGATTTTTAGTTAGTATAAACCTTAAAAAGAAACCTTTCAAATTTTCAGTACATTTTCTTAGTTGTATGCAACTTATAAATAAAATAATTCATAGTAATAAATTTTTTATATATTAAATTATTTGATTTATGTATAAATGTCTATTAAGGATTGTTAACATTAGTAACTACACCAATATGATGATTATTCTCGTATAGATAAATGCATTTTTCATTTTCCATATTAACTTCATTATAGTTTGGCCACCCTTTTCGGAAATACATCCATAAGTTAAGCTTGTCTTTAAAAACATAAATACAAACATCTAAGTAATGAGCTGCAGCAAAAATTTCCAAATCTCGAATGTTAGAATTAAAACCTGNAGCAAAAATTTCCAAATCTCGAATGTTAGAATTAAAACCTGTAAACAAAATGCGTAGTGTGATTTATTAAGAATAATCCTTCAAATACTTTTATAAATTAATAATTTTTTTATAAAAATAACTGTTATTTTTTAATGTGATTATTATTTATTAAAGAATAGATCATCTTTATAATACTATTTTCAGATATTAGCATTTAAATATTTACTTTTGCTCACACTTGAAAGTTATATTATATCAAAAAGTAATATTAAAAAATTAATTATCGACTATTCAAATATTTATACAGTATATTCTGCAAAAAATGGTACAAAAATAATTATGGGTTTACATCTAACATAAGAGATAATAAAAATGATTCTTAAAACTATCTTCTTCTTCTTCCTCGCCTGAACCCCAACTACTTTGGGCTACCCTTATCTTAAATTTCCACTTTACATGATCTCTCACATCATCTACGCTTAAATCAGCTGTCCTCATATCACTCTATCTCTTCTTCCTTCAACATTCATTTCTTTAACTGTTCTTACAGCTTCCGATTCCTCCCTCCTCATAACATAACCAAACCATCTAAGTCTATTTTCTCTAATTTTATCCACGTTTGACGTTACACCTACACTTCCTGTTATATGCTCGTTCCTTATCCTATCTTCTCTAGTCACTCCACTCATCCATCTAAAAATTCTCATCACTGCTACACTCATTCTCTGCTCTATTTTCTTGTCAACCGCCCAACACTCTGAACCATACATCATAGCTGGCCTCAATACAGTCTTATAGAATTTACCTAAAAGTATCCTTAAGAATAATGTTTTTATAATAAACTTTATATTTATTATGATTGACAAAAATAATTATTATATAACAAAAAATATTGAGGTAATATTTGTAATAAATCGCAATATATATTTTGCCAAATATCTTAAAATGAGCTACAAAAAAAAAAAAAAACTATAATAGATAATATTTTTGAAATATGTTAAAATTATACAAAAGCAGATTTATTTTTAATTAAATACTAATATTTATTAGTTATATCTACTCAGCTCATTCGGGGAGGTGTAAATACGTTGTTACCGGTAGTTTCATTTCATTGCACAAGTTTACCCATCCCCTATAACACAAGCATAACTTTTCTATATGAATGTTAAAGATGAATTTATAATAATAAATGTTAATTTTTATATCTAATTCCAAAATACATTATATTGTTTTTCATTTTTAGTTTTTTTACAACAAACTTCATATTTAT